TATTGAATAAGATCCGTACCACATTCCTCGCTTCCACTTCATTTCCATTTCTGATATCGTTCAACCACCTACTCAGGCTATTGATGAAGTGGCTTTGAATAATTTAACCCTGGCTACATTTCAGAACCTGCAGTTTGGGTCCTTCCCAGAAGTCGACGCTCCTCCAGTGGCTTTTCTGTTGCGAGTTTCCACAGATCTCTCTCTCCCCAACTGATGTTTTCTTTCGGCGGTGTTTTGCTGTGGTCTCCAGCAGAAACTTGGGATTGGGGTCGTTACATACGACTATTTACTCGTAGGCACTACAAAGCTTAGAACTGTGTCAGTTTAACGTGTTGTTTATGAACTTCCTATTCGTAAAACGTCGGTTGGCCCTGATGGGTGGAATTTCACCTTATCTGCTCCGGGAGTCGAGTTGACCTCAGAGGCTGATTTTCCGTCAAATTCGTTGTGGTCTAGCGTTTGGAGAGGCTATGAATGTGGTAGTAGAGCACAGCATCCGTCAGAACTGGCTTGAATGCATGGATAAGTAAGGCGGCAAGTGAATAATTTGGTTGTGGTGGCGTACCGCCCAAACCTTATCACTGAAATGATTTATGAATGGATGGAAGGAGGAGGAGGTTAAGGAGGGAAGGTTTTTTATGCTTAATCGCGCAATGTGAGAACAAAGAATTACGTGGGTGGTGATGAAACATCTGGTTATCCTCTATGCCATCATAAAGCGAGGTGGGGAAGCTGTGGATGCTCCAAGGGGAATGGGTACCACGTGGCTAGGTAACAGGTGGCAATGGGGTAGGAGGCCTTTCACTCCCTTATTCACCACTTCACTCCACTTCACTTTGTTGTGGTAGACTACAGACAGAATTATTCACTGGCAATTACGTATTCGTTGAAGGCGAAACAATTAGGGCTGAGACCTATTCTATTCCATCCTGTCGTCTGTCTCCAACCTTGTACTGCACCTCAGAATTGGAAGATGGCTTTCTATCATCACCATCTGGGTGGTTATTATAATTTCTTGCCACTATTCAACCACATTTGAAGCGGTAGAAGCGGAGATGGCTCCCAGAGACACATTGTTACGTAAAAGTGGGATTCCCAACTATTTTGTATCTCATTGGGAAGTGATGGATTGGCTGAAATTGTGATTACTCCTACGGACCTAGATCGTACCCGGTTGCCTTGTAGCATATAGAGGCCGAATAGCTGGAGGCTGGAAAGCCTCGTTCTATACGTAACTCAAAGAAATGACATGAAAAATTACTGAATTTGATTTGCCATGCATTGAGAGGAGATTTGCATTCCCGTCTTTTTCCTCAACGCTGAATTTGAAGCGATGTATATTTTTTCTGATGTGGTTAATTAGCGGTGTTTTCTTTCCATGAGTACACCAACGAGGAGGAATTTTCGCATCCTGCTTTTTTCCCCCTCCGTCCTCCTCCGCCCCATCACTTTCTACTCCTGTCCTGCCTTTGATCTTGGCCTGGTCAGTCGAGACTATGCTCCCCCTCCTCGTGAAGTGGGGGAATTGTGTGAAATTGGTGAATTTAGTCTCTGGCAGGTAGTAGGAAAGGCAATTTCACCACAATGCAACCATCCCCTTAGGGCAAATTCATTTTCAAGTGTCTTTTTTCCCTCCCGCGCTTCTTTGGGTAACTATTCACCCCCCACCGCTCCTCCCCTCCGCTCCATCAAGCCTATCAACTTGATCAAGTTGGGTTGAGTTGCGAAATCAATCTCCTCCTTATGTTTCTTTTTCTTTTGAATAAAGGAGGATTTTATTGTTGGCGGGAGGCTGCTAGATTCACTCTCAATGCTCTCGACGGTTTCTCTCGCCTGTCTAGTAGGTTCTCCTCCACACCGGAGCAAAGATGCTATTACTCTCAATTGTTTGCGTTCTCTTTCAAACAACTAAGAAGGAAAGTGAAAGTGAAACTGGCTTTTTACGTTTTAGTCAACAGTTTTTCCTTAAGAAAGTTGCTCTCTTTTCCCCTCTGCTGAATTGAGGAAGCAGGGCGGTCTTTGCAGATACCTTTTTATTGTTGGTGCTTTGAATTTCGAATCAGTAAGAAGTAAACACGAATTGGTCAGGTGGGTTGCAGTCCGGCAGTCTAAAATTCACTACATGGTATGGTCTTGTAGGAGGTTTTTTATCAAGTATTCTCCTTTCTTTTCATTTGATGGGTGTCCTTTTCCCTGAATAAGTCGAGTCCTCCTCTCTCTCCCCGTAGTCACAGTCATCTGTTGCCAGTTGACTGTTGTGTTGGGAATTTCTTATCGTAAGAGCGTGCATCGCACCGAGTCTTTCCTGAATTCAAAGGTCGATGTAATGCTGGGGGACGCACAGAAGGGCGGAGGAGTTGTTAACATGACTAGGAGGTCACGCCACCCACCCTAACAACAATGGGTGCCTGTGAAATGAAAACGAGATGTTCGTCCTCACCACTCCCCTTGGTCAACTTCCCCATCAATTATCATAACGCAGTCTGTGCTTTGGGAAAAACACACTCGAACCAATGTGCCAGCCGTGGAATTTGCATGTAACTGAGGGGATACTTGACCTCAATATCACTTATTCCTCTTTGCAATTCCATGGGATCTGCAGTTTCGTCCTGTTTGGGAACTGTATTGGGGAAGGGGGTTTGTACTGGCCATTTCTTGTATCCCCCACTAGTCGTGAAATCGCTGACCGGGGAGCCGAGTTGCTTGGCGAAGGATGGCGCTTAAAATAGCTTCATGCTGATGGGATTTTGTATCTATTCCTCCTTGCAGCTTTGTTCTCACTTCAGTACTGCGCAGCCATATATCTACCAGGGCTCTGTTTAGTTAGTAGAGGGGTGGAGGAGGAGGTACCGCGTGTTCACTTACTTGATATCTTCATCCAGGTACCATGGACAATTTCGTAACGAACTTTGCTAGGTGGCTCACGGCTAGTGTCACCTCGGTTGTTAATAACCCTCCTGTAGAACGCAGGACTGGGTGTTGGTTGCCGAAAGTAGACG